ATATATATTATATATTATATAATATATATAATATAAAAAGATTATATTTATATATATATATTTATATATATATAAAGCTATAGATATAAAGATATAGTTGTGGTTAAGAAGGTTAAAATATAATAATTTTGTATAAAAAATCTCATATAGTGAATTTTTGTCTCAAAACAAAATGTCTATTTAGAAAAGAGTAAAAATAGGATAAAACAAACAGTCTAAAACATATAGAAATGTTTGAGTAAGTGTAAAAATGGTGTGTAAAGAGTGAATTTATAAAAGCATTTTGTGTGTGATTAAGCTAGCTATAATTAAAAGAGAATTATTTCTAAGTTTTGCTAAAGATTGAAATTTGATATTAAAAAGACACTGATACAAAGCTAAATTTCCCCCACGTTTGAACAAGTTTCTCTTGAAGTATTGATCTGCTTTTGATAAATTTACAAGTTTAGATTTTTTTCTAAAGACATCTGCAATCTGATTCATGAAAAATACTATCTATAATCAAGTCCTTTTAAACACAGGTTTCAAATAACTTTTAAGATCAATGAACAAAATAAACATTTTTCAAAACTTTAAAGTCAGATGCGTATATAAAACTGCTAATCAAGATCAAACAAAACAAAAATTCATTATGTAACGTTAAATAACCAATAAAGATAGTGTTTTGTAACTTAAGTTTTTGGTTCTTTACTTAAATGCTTTGTTTTGCAGACTTAAAGGAAACCCTCTCTCTTAAGCTATGTGTGACTTACAGCAATTTGGTAGCATATACTTTTATGAACAAAGATAGAAACACTTGGTTTTTTTTCCCCTACTTGATTCCTCCAAAATATGAAGACTATTTAAAAATATCCTTATGATTTTTATGACAGTATTGTTATTTACATAAGTTCAATAAAGTTTTTCTCTCTTTTTATAGCAGGATGCAATTGGAAACACTGGTTATAAAATAACAAGTCTCTTCTAAGTTCCTGACCCTATTTTATGTTGCCCTCATTTGGTCTAACTGCTGTTTCATCTTTCCCCTGATGTGAGACTTGAGAATCTGGGAACAAACCTCCCTAGCACNTCTACACAAACAGTTCTCTAAAAGTATCCACGGCCTTAAAGGTGGGGCTCACAACTTGGATGAGATACCTTGTTCCTAAACCAAGGTTTTATGTAAGTTCTTAAAATTGTTGATGTACCAATTAATGTATATATAGCTCACTAACTCTGAGTAAGCCACCTGTTGTCAAACAACTTTTAAGACAATAGATATATAAATGCCCTGAATCCCTCTGCCACTCCAGCCAGGTACCAAAAGCTATGTCCTCCATCATGTCAAATTGTTCCATTCCAAATTAACCCTTTCTTCACCCTAACTCAGCTCAAAACAGTAAGATGAGTTTTCTTTCATATTCCATAAAAATGGAAGGAGCTCTT